CGCGGCTCGGCGACCAGGACTGGCATCGGATGTACCGCATCCCGTTCCACGCCGTCGAGCTTGTGGACCGGCGCGTCGAGGCCATCCGGGGCTCGGCGTGGACGTCCGTCGCGGTCGCCGACAGCGTCGTGCGGCGGCTGCTGGGCGTGTTCTTTATCCTGCAGCATCCCTTCTACACCTTCTTCGACAAGGACATCTTCCTCGAGGACCTCGTCTCGGAGAGGCACAGGTTCTGTTCGCCGCTGCTCTTCCACGCCGTCATGGCCGAAGCCTGCGTGGGTTCCCCGCCTCCTTCTTTCCACGGTCTATTTGTAGCTGTGCAGATGCTGACTCTTTTATTTCCCCCTCTCGACAGCACGGCTACAGCGCCATCTCGGATCGATACCGGTTTTGGGACCCGCAGAAGCTCACCTACCAGTTCTTGGCCGAGGCGAGGAGGCTGTGGGAGATCGAGATGCAGTCGGGAGAGGATAAGATCGCCACAGTCCAGGCTGCCATGATCCTGTGCGCCGGGTACTCGACCACGGGCCTGGACCAGCTCGGCACGGAGTATCTACGACAGGGGGCCCGGATGGCAGAGAGACTGCAGATTTTTGGATCTCTGGACCACGTTCAGAATCCGCTGCGACGTAGGGTGTACGGCATGACGGCATGGGCTCTCTTTGGATATCAGGGGTAAGTCCGAGTCTCCCGATCGCTAGGCCATGGTCGCACGATCGACCTCTGGGCGACTGCTAGGCTCACATTCTTTCTGTGCGCCTCTACAGCATGTTCGCCTTCCACATGTGGCAGCCGCCTGTGCTCACGACGCCCCCCGACGAGCCGCTGGCCGACATCAAGGGCCTACATGCGATACGGTGGAGATCTGGGTTCGGTATCGTCCGCGGCCGATGCCGACGTCGGTGCAGTTCGGCGAGACGTTTATCGTGTTCAGCCAGCTCGAACCATCATGCGCAGATTGCCGACCTGCAGCGCGCAGAGGCCGCAGGGACGAGCTGACGCCGCGATGCCGCCGTGTTCAGACGAGAACTGTCCGCGTGTCACAGCTGCAGCTTTCTGTCGCGACTACGTCGGCTGCGGCATCTAGATCACGTGCGGTACCAAACTCGATTTCCCCGTCGTTTCCCTCAGGCTTTCCCCCTCTTATGTCCTCCGACCATCTCACGACTGACCCTCGCCACGATGCAGTATGCAGTACCACAACGACATGCTCTCGCTGTTCGACTCGTTGGCCGACCAGAGCAGCGGGTCGCCGGTGGCGGCGTACCGCGAGATCTGCGCGCACTCGCGGCAGTGCCTCGACGTGCTGGTGCGGCTGTACTACCTCCGGCACGGGTTCGAGAGCTGGAACGACTCGCTGCCGACGTGGCTCCTCTACCTGGCGCAGCTGTGCATCCGCGACCTCGCGCGCGCCGACGACCCGCTCGCCGACGAGGCCACCGTGTCGACGCTCATGCTGTGCGCCAAGGGCCTGCAGGACCAGGGCCGCAGCCTGTACATCGCGCGCGTCTTTCTTCCACATTCTGCGCCGCGCGATGCCGCCGGCCGTCGCCGAGGTGCTCGAACCGCGACGTTACGGCCATGGTCGACGAGCGGTCCAACACGGGCACGGGCGCGCATCGCCTGCGGGCCAGCTGGCCGGTGCAGACCATTTCCATCTCGGACGAGCCGGACCGGTTACTCGAGAGGCTGAGCTTGGAGGACCGCAGGACAGAGGAGCCGGAGGACCAGTCGGAGGCGGCGGCGACGAGCTCAGACTGTGAGTCCACGATGGAGTTTGGGTCAGAGCCAAGTGTTGGTTTGCCAGCAGGGACGTAGAGATGGACATGTTTGAAGGGGTGCTTTTTGACCATGCGGCCTGGTTATTGATGCACGAGACGGTCAACATGTGATCGGGCGTCGTGTGAGCGTTTGTCGTTTGGTGAGATTTGTGTAACTACAATACCGCATCGTAGAACTTAAACCCAATACCACTGAACGCTCTTTCGGAGATGGGATTTTAGAGAGGGTACTCCCAAAGACGAACATCCTAGTTGATCCATCATACACTGTAATCCGGAGAGAAAAAATTAGATGCCGTCAGAAAGTACTTATTCTGTGCTTCCTTTGTCAAGCCTTGCTTGTTTTGTGGGCGTTGCTCATGGTGCAAAAGCAAAAGAATCAGATAGCAACTGGACGTTTCGATCGTCCGACCTCCGGGTTATGAGCCCGGCGCGCTTCCGCTGCGCCAAGTTGCTTTGGTCGATGGGAGTTGATGTAACTAAAATTGATTATAACCCTGTTTTCAAACCCACAACCAATCTCTCGCCACACATTACGTCCACAACGCTTCGATGGACCTTTGAGGTATCCATGAAACAGAGAACTTTGTCTCCATGTCTGATCGTACTTGTTTCCTAGCATGAATGAATCTCGCTTGTTTCCCGCCACGTGTAAATGACCTTGTCACCACCCACCCTCAGCCCACTGACAAAGCCACAAGACCTGCGTCATGACAGCCCGCCAAGTCACCCCCCGTCAATGCCCACGAGCAACACGAGTCGGTTACACCCGATGCTGTCCTTCTCGTCAGGAACCGGGACCACAGGGCATGCTGTGCGACCGAGATGATTGCATGTGAGAGGGGCCCTCTCTCGTAACCTTGATCTCGAAATACCACACCACATCACCGCGTGGCGCATTCGACCGACGTGGATTGTCGCCCCCCCACCCTGCTTTGCTTTGCCTTCGTGGCTGGAGACGGCGCAGGGTCGCAGGCGCATCGGACACGAAGCAGATAGAGGGGGGGGGGGGGAGTGGTCATGCACGGCGTACGAGATGTTTCAAGAGGAGGTGCCTCGTGTGCTTTGGCAGGTCTGCGGTGCCGCATCCGCGCATTGATTCGGAGGCGGTTAGGGGGTATTGGCAAGGGACGCGCCGCCCCCTGTATCATGTGTTGGCAGTATTTGGTGGGTTGTTTGGTATAAAGCAGCCATGTCCTGGAA